TAAAGTCCATTCAAGTCAGAGTCTGTAACTGAAGGTAATTTCAAAGTCATGGTGATGATGCTTGATCAATTCGTTTGTCTCTAGTTATTCTTTTAAATGATTCTCTTAGGCGTTTGAACTATATATATGAAGACAAGTGGTGTGGACCATTTTGGAATAGTGGTGAAGCAGCGGACTTGAGCGGGGATATTTAGTAGTGGTGGTGGGCTTACCATTGTCACATATCGGAAGCTTGTACCGATGCAATTGTATCGTCGTTGTAACACTTTTCCCACTATCAAACAACGAAATAAAAAGTATGTGATACAAAAAGTCAATTACCCATAAATGATTGGGCCCCCGTTGGATTTTGAAAATGTACATACATACATAGGAGGAGGAGGGGAGGGGGGATAACTTTCAATTGGTTCAATACAGAAAAACGATCCACTTTTGTCAACCACGTAGCTAGAGAAGCAAAAGGTATTTGCAACCCCACATTTAAGCACCACAACCAGCGTACATAGAGACAAACTACCTGTACCGTTACTCTCCTGTATCACGCCTGTCCGCTCATTGAAAGTAGGTTATTGAGTGAGTGTTCAGATCTCCCGCAGTAACTTCTTCTTCTATCATCTCGAGTTTGTAAGAAAGTGCGATAGAATGTGAAAATCAATCAGTAGAGAGAAGTTAACGGCACCCTTTGCAATATGGGTCAAAGTGCTTCTTGATAGAGTCTCCATAGACGTAGAGAGCTTACACTTATCGTATAACTGTTCCAAAAATAAAGTTTCAATTACTTGTAGCATCGGCTACTAATTGCGGGGGAGGGGGGAGGGAGGGGGGGACGGCACTCGTCGGCAGCAAAACCCGCTTCACCTTTGTGGCTACTACATAGTAACAAAAACTGCAAAGCCAGATTTTGGTGAGGTATTTGACTGTTGAAGAGCAAGGTGCGTTTGGGGTTGGAAAGCAGCTCAAGCTTGTACCATCTTTCATGGATTTAGGTCTATACAGAAAAGGAAACACTGTTTAAAAGTTTAGAAGAGGGTTGACAAAGGGAGTTACTTGGTTAGCACGTTGGAGAGCTGCTCTTCGGCTTCGGCAATCTTTCAGTCGATTCCAATCAGACTCCTCCATTGATTCGGCCCGCTTGAACCGAATTACACAACCAGATGTGAAATAAAAATGTAGTGCGGGGAATGTGATGGGTAATGTCTCTAATTTTATGTGTCGCATTCAGGACGTTGATGTTTGCGACGTTGATTTTTTCAAATTTAATGTGGTCGACCACCTTACATCATTATCTATCTCTGTATATATTCACATATATATATATATTAGTTACTTAATATCCGTATACTAATGGTTTTAATCAAGAAATTACTCAGCGAGAAAATAGCAAGTCATTGATTACACCAACAACTCCTGGACCATAGAGCAAGACCAGAAAGGTACATAAGGACATATAATATTACCCGAGAATTGTCATAAAACATAGATGGGTAGAGGGGGGGAAGGTGCTCTCACTTAGAAGTAACATATTTCTTGATGCAGGTCTTGCTTAGTTATAGAAAAGTTGCAAAAGAGTTGCATCACGTGATAAAGTGATTTAGTAAACGGGCTCCCACGTCTGATTTACTGTGTATTCTCGATAAAGACGCACTTTGCTTCAGAGGAGAAGCAGAATATTGGGTCTATAATACACATGCTTCCTGTTTTGCAAGAGAGTAGGTACCATCATTATAGAGTGGTTGTTTCAAGACTATGGTGAATCTAGTTTCAAAGAGTCGTTTTGTGGATTGGTGAGTCTTTAATCCTGCATATAATAGAAAGTATTACTAAGAAAAGAACTTTAGAAATTTCGGAACCGCTTCGGGTATGTAGTAAATGACGGCACATCATTTAACAGGTACTAGTATCGGTTAGAGAATTGGCTCTCAAGATACACAGCACTGCTCCTCTCAGCAATACTGCCAACGGCAAAGGGATTGAGAATTGACATATACTGTGGAAGGTAGCAGTAAATGTATATAAGAAGGACAATACAAAGGAGGAAAACAGTATATGCAGTACATCAAGTAAGTCTGCATCGATCATCAATTCAGGTCAAACTTTTTTTTCTTCTTCTTATAAGGACTAATCATTCATCTAATACTACTATCTTCAATTAAGTTTACAAATCATTAGTCTTAGTCCCATCCAATAACACATCCAACAGTGATAACAGACTCTTTTATACCACAGGTACAGGAGATAACACTATTAAGAGACAGCAGAAGATGTATAAACACATATTCAAGTACAATCTTGCCCCCACAGCTAGGGTGCTCAGGCAACAACTGCAGCTGCATCATCTCAAATCATTTGCAAAGAGATCTTTAGCAACTACTACTGCGCCACCCGAATCAGTAGCCAATACCGCACGCAATTCAGAAGCCGAAGCCACCGCAAGCAGCGTCGATGCCACTCCCTCTGGCACGCCAATCAATAGACATGTGTCCACGCCTTTGGACATTCCTTCTGATGTCCAACCACCAGCTGGATCAGCAATCAGCTTGAAATCAGCCACCCGTGATCCATCCAAGTTTGGTACTCGTCCCATCTACTTGGATGTCCAGGCTACTACTCCAACTGACCCACGTGTGTTGGACAAGATGTTGGAATTTTACACTGGTTTATACGGTAATCCGCATTCATCAACTCATGCTTATGGTTGGGAGACTGACAAAGAAGTTGAAAAGGCAAGGGCTCATGTTGCCAGTGTCATAAATGCTGACCCAAAGGAGATAATTTTCACTAGTGGTGCTACTGAAACCAACAACATGGCCATAAAGGGTGTGCCCCGTTTCTACAGGAAAACCAAGAGACACATCATTACCACTCAAACTGAGCACAAGTGTGTTTTGGACTCTGCAAGACACATGCAAGATGAAGGTTTTGAAGTCACCTACTTACCTGTCAATTCAGAAGGGCTCATCAACTTGGATGATTTGAAAAAAGCCATCAGAAAAGATACATGTCTAGTTTCAGTAATGGCTGTCAATAATGAAATTGGAGTCATCCAACCATTGAAGGAAATTGGTGAAATCTGTCGTGAAAATAAAGTTTTCTTCCATACTGATGCTGCACAAGCATATGGTAAGATTCCAATCGATGTTAACGAAATGAAGATTGACCTTCTATCTATTTCTTCACACAAAATTTACGGGCCAAAGGGAATAGGCGCTTGTTATATCAGGAGAAGACCAAGAGTTAGATTGGACCCAATCATTACTGGTGGTGGACAAGAAAGAGGTCTTAGATCAGGAACTTTGGCTCCGCCTTTGGTTGCTGGATTTGGTGAAGCCGCAAGATTAATCAAAGAAGAAGGGGCTTATGACAGAAAACATATTGAAAAGTTGTCCACCAAATTGAGAGAAGGCTTGTTGTCAATTCCCTCAACTATACTTAACGGATCCACCAATCCAAAGTATCAATACCCTGGTTGTGTCAATGTCTCATTTGCATACATTGAAGGAGAATCGTTGTTGATGGCGTTGAAAGACATAGCATTGAGTTCAGGTTCAGCATGTACTTCAGCTTCATTGGAGCCTTCTTATGTTCTTCATGCGTTAGGTGCTGATGATGCTTTAGCTCACTCTTCAATTAGATTTGGTATCGGAAGATTTACTACCGAAAGTGAAGTTGATTACGTCATACAGGCTATCAATGAACGTGTCGATTTCTTGAGAAAGATGTCTCCATTATGGGAAATGGTGCAAGAAGGTATTGATTTGAACTCAATAGAATGGAGTGGTCATTGATTTTAGGGAGTTCGGCTTTATTAAGGTGGTTACGCGGCTTACATGAACGGAATTAGGAGTTAAGATGTGGAGTATGCAGGTATTTAGGAGTTGATTGTTGTTTGGTTTGTGTATTGTATAGTATTCGTTTTCTTTTCGTGTGTAGTATTGAAAGAATGTAATGTGCATAAACAGTGACCCTTGCATGCTTTGGTGCGTCGTTGTAGTTGGCGAGAGTTTGCAATCTTTTGAATTTGATATAACTCTTGTTGATTTGACAAACATCCTCGGCCTGTCTCGGTCTCCTGTACCGGAGCTACAACTGACAAAAAAATAAAATATATAATAAAATAAAACAAAACAAAATTAAAAATATTCAGAGCCTCAAGGATATAAAAGGCTCAATTGTTTTCACGTCAGCATTAGTTTCTATATCGAAAACGCCCAAACACACCTTCAATAATCAACAACAAGATGGCAGAATCAACTATTACTAAAAAGATCACGGTTTTACCAGGGGACCATGTAGGTACCGAAATCTGTAACGAAGCAATCAAAGTTCTCAAAGCGATTGAAGAGTCAACTCCATACCAGAAAATCCATTTCGATTTCCAACATCACTTAATTGGTGGTGCCGCCATTGACGCCACTGGCTCTCCACTCCCTGACGAATCCTTACAGCTGGCCAAAGAATCCGATGCTGTCCTCTTGGGAGCTGTAGGCGGGCCCAAATGGGGTACGGGCTCAGTGCGTCCCGAACAAGGGTTGTTGAAAATACGTAAGGAATTGAACCTTTACGCCAATATTCGTCCTTGTAACTTTGCCAGTGAGTCGCTTTTGGAATTGAGTCCATTGCGTCCTGATATTGTCCGTGGCACAAACTTGATTATCGTGCGTGAATTGGTTGGTGGGATCTACTTTGGTGAACGTCAAGAACAATCAGAGAGCCCAGATAGTGAAACGGCATGGGATACCGAGAAATACACAGTTGCTGAAGTCACAAGAATCACTCGTATGGCTGCGTTTATGGCATTGCAACACAATCCGCCATTGCCCATTTGGTCATTGGATAAAGCCAATGTGTTGGCATCGTCGAGATTATGGAGGTCTACAGTGGACAAGGTGATCTCGACCGAGTTCCCACAATTGAAAGTCCAACACCAGTTGATTGACTCAGCGGCAATGATTTTGATTCAAAACCCAACCAAATTGAATGGTATAATAATTACATCGAACATGTTTGGTGATATAATTTCCGATGAAGCTAGTGTGATTCCGGGGTCTTTGGGTCTTTTACCTAGTGCTTCATTGGCATCTTTGCCAGATACCAACAAGGCGTTTGGTCTTTATGAGCCTTGTCATGGATCTGCACCAGACTTGGATGAGAATAAAGTTAATCCAATTGCCACTATTTTGTCAGCCAGCTCCATGTTGAGGTTGAGTTTGGATTGTGTGAAGGAGGCTGAGGCNCATTAGAAGAAGCTGTGAAGCAGGTTTTGGATCAAGGTATTAGGACCGGTGACTTGAAGGGAAACAGTAGTACTACTGAAGTTGGTGATGCTGTTGCTGCAACTGTAAAAAAGATTTTACAATTAAAAGCATAGACAAGAGGTTCAGAGGAAGGTGGTTAGTGTGTATATATGAATATATTGGATGTTAATTGACAAAGTTTAACAAAACTTGTCAACTTCAAAATCACTGAATCGAATTGAATTTTGAAGTAGATTGGTAAGCTGTGCAATCGAATCATCTCTCATATACTCACTCAATGGTTTCGTTGTAGTTTCACTCAGTTGTATACTTTTAGGCTCGTATTTTGCAATCAATGTGTCCTGCGTATTCTTTAACTCCTTGTGCAATAGTAGTGGAGCTCTACTAACAACTACCTCATCGCCTGCAAAATTTAATTCAGCTCCCACCTCGAGTCCTTCCATATTACCAGACGAGTTACTCACTAGTGTATCTACACTAGCATTAGTACGGAATGGAGTCAATGTAGCAGTCAGTGGACTAGAAGGTGCTGTTTTCCTCATCGCACTCGAGTAATACGATCCAATCGCTGCATCCAATGGTGGTTTACTGAACTCAGCATCTATTAATTGACTAAATTCAATTGCGTATTCCCGAGCAGTGATGGACTTGACTGACTCATCTCTTGGGAAGTGTGAAGCAAGCTTGCCCTTGGGTGTCTGGTGTCCCTGATTGCAGTCAAGTCTAGTCGTGAACACACCATCTTGATTGCTTGATATTTGTGGAGTTGCAAAAGTATGCGGAGAAATGGGTGTCCCCCCAGCATGAGAGAATATCAGTGACTCGTTTGATGGTTTGCGCGGACTAGTCGAGTTTGCGGTAAACATAGGAATAGTAGAGTCCGGTTCTTGCTTACTTGTCCGTGCAGCTCCTCTGTTTCGTTTTAGAGCCTCGTCACCGCTACTGGCACCAGGGTTATGACGATCGGGCTCTTGCACATCTTCATCTTCTTCCTCTGCAATCTCATCTCTAACACCAGCATGACCCGTAGCCCATATCTCCAGCGATTCCTTAACCAACAACTCAGCTTCGTCTCTTGCATTGAAAAATTCCCAGTTTGGTGTTTGATCAGAATCTTCATCAAGGTAATCGCCAAAAGAAGGTTCTTGAGACAATTTCAAAACCACTGAAATATCATCCATGGTTGAGAGTCGTCTAATAGTGCTAAAATCGTGAATACTGGATGAGGCCATGGCGTTAGTTTCGATCTCGTCCATGTTGTTTGGATCAGGAAACTTGAAATTTGGCAAGATTTCAATAGAAGGTTCTGATACACAACGATTGTTGGCATTGGTATGTTCCGGTACTGATGCAAGTGCTGGTGCGGGTGCTAAATTGCCTGATATCTCATCTGATTTATTCTCAATAACGGTACTTGTCGATGAGGGCCGTCTGTGCAGAAGTGTTGGAATTGGCTTGTAAATCTCCTTGTATTCAAGTTTGGTACCTTGAGGGATAAACGTGTTTGACAATTTCCTCGTTGTCTTTGGTTTCAATTCAGGTGTATGAACAATCGGTCTTTTCGACTTTTTCAAGTGAATTTTAGTGAATATTGAACTTCTTGAGGAGTTAGATTTTGTGGGTGATTTTTTGGAATTGGATGGTGAGTTTACCAGTGATTTCACAATTCTTGTTGTGTCAGAAGTTTTCCAATCACGCTCCCCTCTTTTATCAAAATCACTGAATAGATTTTCAACCAAGTATTCCAAATGTACTGAATTTCCTTCAATAAGGTTCTGTGTCACTGTGTTGTATGTTGAGAATAAGTTGCAGAACGACTTTCCAACCAACTGTTCAATAAAGCTTGCAAAGTGAGCACTCTCAACAACCTCATTGATCTGCTTCCTAGCGCACTTATCAAATCCAGTGATTCTGATAGCATGTTCGCTCACTATCGACGCATGTAGCAACAAAAGTAACTGAGGATTGTGATCAAAATATGATGGCACGTCAACGTCTAAATTCAAGACCAAGGCAAATGGCAGTTTGAGTGCCTCCGAATCGTAATCGGATGTAGATTGAGCAACGTAATTGATGTTTAAGGCATTGTTCAATGATCTGAATAAATGAAATGACGACGATTTGTCAAGAATTTTCGACTTTTCAATTGCAATAATTATATCCGCAGCCGTCGCACGCTCTCCAATGACTTTATAGCTGCCAGAAAACACTCTCGGCTTGCTGTTGGATGATTGGAACCCACGGGGGTTTAGCGAAAGGAAGCGGACACATTCTACTGCTGAATTTACCTCATTTAAAGTCAAGTACTTGGTAACCAACGCCTCATCAATACGACACCAAGCAGACACCTCCATTTTGGGGAAAGCATCCAATTTTGGCATCGGCTTCTCGTTTATTAAGGAATGCATCAAAGCATCGGCAACTGACAACACTTTAGCCTGTTCTTCGCAGTCATCTTTGAAGCCATCCTCAACTTCGAAGAACAACAAATGGTCTGAAAAAACCACCAAAACTTCCAACCCAGTCGCATTTTTCCTTGGAGCGACATTTTGCAATTCAAAAATGCCTACAACTTTTCTTGTATTCCAATCAAGCTGTAGCTCAGGTGGCCAGTTCCCAGCCAATTTGGTCAACATCCTACCAGTTGGGGTAAATACACGTTTCTTTGTTTCAATTTTTTGCTCATCGGCTCCAGAAAATGCATAGATAACGTCGATGGCTGATTTGTAATGGCGATCAATCAAAAGAAAAACATCGTCTCTTTCACCATTATCAAAATTCCTGGCAATAGCTTCTTCAGCCTCTATTGCCGCATGTAGCCTTTGTAACAAAAGCTTGAATTTGGGTAGTTCCAATAATACTCCGGTAACAACTGAATCAATTTCTCGCACTGTATATTGCGATGGGTTTATCTTTAAGTTTTCAAAGATGCCTTGTGCATGCTTTTGAGCAAATTTTGTCAAATTCTCGTTGAAATGCTTGACATTAGCCTCGTGTCGTATGAATGGTTTGTAAAAATATGGCAAAATCGTTCCCATTGCAATTATGACTTCGATATCGTCCAATCTGCGAGCTTTTAACAACGCATCATTGAGTAAACAGTTGACCCTGGCTATTTCATCGATTGTTGGAGGGAAAGTTTGGTTAATCTTTTGTATAGCACTGGACTGATCAGTTCTGTCTCGCTCCATCACACTCGTTCTTAATGGTATTATAAACGTTTGTAATAAATTTACTAGTCCCGCAGTATAGTTTGTTTGCACATTTATGAGTTCCTCCACGATGGAATGAATCTTTGAACTTTGAAAATGGACCGGTTTTCTGTCCAAAGATGGTTTGTAACATATCCTCATTTCCTCTGGTGCATATTCCAAAAGAGGGTCAAATATTTGGTCCAATTGTTCACCCAACAAGGACACCAATTGGTTATTCTCTTCCACTATTTCCTCTTTGGAGGATTCATTATCATATATCACATCAACGGTAAACGCGCACACGTTTTGATTTTGAACCAATCCTAGGTCAAGAAGTTTCCTTCCCAAATCATCTGGAGAACAATTTTGCAACAATGACATCGAACTCGCTAGAGCACCGGCATTTGTCTCGTCCCATAAAGACACATCCAGTATAACGTGATGATTTAATGTCCTGTTTGAATTTTTCAAGTTCAGAATGGCTAGTGCTTTGCGTACATGAGATTTTTGATGCTGTGGCAAAAGGTTTTCGCAACTGGGCCAAAACCTAGAGCTGGAATCCAATACCAAGTCGGGGTACAAAGTTGGGCCAAACTTGGTGATGGTTTGAGTACATAGCTTGCTTTTGTTTGCTCTTTGGTACACTATTGAAATAACGTGACGAAACATAGTTGCATCATGGCCTACAAATATTGCAGCCCCATGTAAAGTTTTTAACCAATTTAACAACAGTCTATCTTGGTCACATTTGGATGAAGTTGTGCCTTCAAAATCGTCAGTGAAGAACGGTAGTTGAATGCCATTTGCCTTTGTCTTTGGTTGTTTTGATCGGAAGTGCTCTATATCGTGCTCTCCTGACACATATCGCACGTAAAGGCTCATTAGTACTAGACTCGAGTTGATATAGATAAAACAGTCTAAAGAGTTGAAATAAAATCTTTGAGCAGTCTCTTTGCAATTGTAGAACGCAATGTCGTTGTATGGGGATGATTTGGCTTGAGCTGAACTTAGATGAAGGACCAAAGAATAATTGAAGAAACTAATGGTAGCGTTCTTTGTTTTGGTTTTTCCCTTTGAGGAATTTCTTCTTCTTTTTCTTTGTGTTTGTCGTTTCTTTCATTCTTTGTAAAGTCGCAGTTAGTTGATTTACAACATAAGAAGGTACGTTCTTTGCGCAGTGGTGCATTTGTTCTTGATATCTGTATAGCACGGGTAGTATTATGTTCATTCCTCGA